GGGATTACAGGCGTGCGCCACCATGCCCAACCCTACAGTCACTTTCGAAAACAATTTTGATGATCGAGTGTGGATTAGATGAAACACAGACTTTGAGATGATTTGTTAAATAATCTCTCTCGGGAGGTGTCTAGGGCTTTGATTTTTCATTGCTTTTCATTATGCGTAGAGGAAAAGTATGCAGCACTCCCTGACCTGTCACCTTCCAAGTATGTGTAGTTTTTAGGATTACTGAGATGCCGTTTACAGCATTATAACCAAGGCAGTGAATTATCAAGGAAGACAAGCAGCTGATGTACGTTCCTTTTGGAGGGTATCCTCACAATATTTTTATTTATTTATTTCCTGAAGCTGTGGAATCTAACCAGACCCTGTTGTCCCAACAGAGTTGCAAATCGTGATAAATATCCGTGAACGTCCACTTCACATAGGAGAACAAGATGTTCAGTCAGATTTCTACAAACTCCTCTGTGATGTTATCTTCCCAGGGGCTATGCGGGAGCTTGGCGTGGTTTTCATCTCCTTGACTTCAGCTACTTATGAAAAATATTTTTAAGGCCAGGCACTGAGAAACTTCATTATATGACATTATAAAAGAATAATCTAGCTTGTGGAACTCTGATTAGCCGACCGAAAGGGGAATGAATAGGATTTTATTTAATAAAAGTGTAATAAAAGAGAATATTGTTTTTCTACATTAATAAAGTTGAACACATACATTCTTCACACTTTGCAGTTCCATTCCTAGAGAAATCCTTCCATCTGCAGTATATATGCATTATACTGCTCATAGAAGTATTGCTTATCGTAGGGAGAAAACTGGCAGTAGTCCAAGTGTCCATTAAAGGTAAAACACAAAAAATTGTGGTATTTTTATACAACAGATGATGATACGGCCGTGAAAAAGAATTTCAACTATACACATTAATATGCATAAATATAAAAATACAGACTATAAAAATCACAGAGTATATACATTATGATATATACCCTGATATAAAGTTCAAAAATAGGCAAAAACAAGTAACCTATTAAGTATGCAGAGGTAGGTGATAAAACCATAAAGAAAAACAAAAGAATGATTAGTACAAACCTCAGGACGGTGTGACAGGAATGAGGAAGAACTCATCCCCGGGGAGGGTGTACATGTGCTGTAGTCCTGCTGATTTCTATTATTGAAGCTGAGCGGTCAGTACAGGCTGGTGGTCACTTTGTCATTCTTTACACTGTGCCTATACATTCTATGCACTTTTCTTTCTTCTGCAGTGCAGGGGATTGAACCCACAGCTTTGTGCATACTAGACAAGCACTCTGCCACCGAGCCACACCCCCAGCCCCAATTCTTTTGTGTATGTAACTCACAATCAAGGTGGTTTTAAAAACAGTGAAAGGACGAGTACCTGTTGGAGCCAAGGGCTGCAGCAGTGACAGGGAGAGCTTGGCGTCTGCTGGCAGCAGGTGCTTCTGCCTGGGAACAAGCAGAGTGGCTCGGTACAAACTCAGGTGAGTTTTGTAGATTGGGAGGCTGACGGACAACTGCCTAAGTTGACTTTGTTTTGAGGCACACGGTGACTCGTGTGCGGAACATGTGAACAGTGGCAGGCCTGAAGGCAGGCGAGGGGCGGACTTACAGGGAGTTGGGGTACACCACGGCGCCCAGTGCCCACGCCAGGTCTATCGGCAGTAGTGTTGAAATCAGGCCAGTCGGCCCGGCTGTGTGACTTCTCTCCAGCAGTGTTCAGTTCATCAGGCTCAGACAGAGGGGTCTAGGTCCCAGCAGGGCTGAGTTCGCCGCGTCATTTTAACGCAGGAAGGGGCACTGAAGCGGACGGAGGGTACTGAGGAGGAAATGATTCAATTACTGATAATGCCATTTAGGCTGGGTGAGAAGAATAATGAAGACATGGCAAAGGGAGGTGATGCTAGTAAATGAGCCCTAGATTTAACGGATGTGAGAGCTTGATAAAGGCAGACTTGGTGCAGTGTGTGGTACGAGGGTGAGCAGGGACATTAGTGGTCAGGACCGCTCGAAGATCTTAGAAGCGGTCTGGAGCACTGCTGGTGACAAGTCAGAGGTTCAGGGCACGGCTGACGTGGGAACTGCCGGAGGTTCTCAGCTCAGGACAGGAGCCCCTCCCCTCCGGGGGTGGAGTGCGCATGCGTGCGTGCGTGTGCGCGTGTGCGCGTGGCGGGGCGCATTTAGTGTTGGAATGACCATGAAGCGGATAAATACTGCTAACTAGGGGCAGGGCCGGGGATGCCAGAGGTCTCGTCATGGACAGGACTATCTACTACGAAGACCTGCCGCACCACAAATGGCAACAGAGCACCGGTTGAGAACACTGGGCCAGATTGGCCGGGGCATCTGGATGGTGTGAAGTCCCTGGGAAGGAGGACACGAAAGGCTGGAGAGGGAGGTGACAGCAACGGGCAGAACTGGACAGCACGGTGGGGCTGGAGGTTTCGAGGGCAGGAGACATGGTGTGGAAAGAGCACAAATGCTGAGCAAGAGCCCTCCTTAAGGGGTCGGCGGATTTCAGGTGAAGCAGAATGTTTCCTGAAGCATTTGCAAGAATGGTGCCAACTGGGCATTTGCTGATTGGGCGTTTCAGAGGGTACTCTGGAAAGGGGCACAGTAAAGATGAAGAGTGCTGAAGATGAGAGCATGCGCAGAGCAGCGAGGGTGAGGATATGGAAGGCCCAGGAGGCTTGGGCCTTCGGTGATGACAGATATGCACCGGGACAGCCACGTGATGGGCGTTGCCCTGGCGGTCTCACAGGAAGGTGACAGACAGTTGAACTGATCCGGAATCCTTAGTGTCTGGATCCCGCCACTCTATTTTGGAGGGGAACCGACTACCAGCCCTTCAGACATTCCCCTGTCCAGGGTGCCTGACAGCCACGTCACCCAGTGAATACTCATTTTGAGGGGCAGAGCAGACCTCCACCGCACAGAGTCGAGTCCTACGGCATAGAGCAGTTTTTCTCAAACATTAATGCAATCAGCGGGGGATCTTGGTAAAATGCTGGTTTGCATTCAGTATTTCTGGGCTGGGATGGAGTCATGTTAAAACAGCAGTACGGCTGAATGGAAAGCTGTAGGATCGGCTAAGTTCAAGCATGGAAGTTTCCTACATGTGGACTTGGGCTAATAACCTCCTGTGTAAAGCAGGAATAACGGAAGAGGCTCCTGTGACAATGCAACGCAATGCGTGTAAAGTGCAGCTCAGCTTCAAGCACATTGCGGGCGTAGAATAAAACTTCTTTGTCTCCTTTGTCCTCACATTCTGTGATCTTCCACAGTTTAAGTGATAATCTTTTTCTGTGTGCGGGGCCGCTGGCCTCTTGTGGCACCTGCTCACTGACTCTGGCAGAAGAGGAAGACATAGTTTCCTTTTTTGTTCAGAGCCAAGTCCAGCGGCCCTGGTTCCCTTAGATCTTACTCTGACTTTGCAGTCTGAAAGCCCCCGCCCCTCTGAGTGGATATGCACTGGTCACCCAGGCTGAGCACTCCGGGTAGACAGAAATACTTCTCATTTTATTCTGCGCTCCATGTCTAACGTGAACTCCTCTTCCCGTGCAGAGCAAAGCAGGAGTCACTTGAAGGAGTCTGGCTTGATACTCCTGAGTCTAAGGCCTGAGGACGAAGTGACGTACGGCTCCAGGCACTACCAGCCATAGACCACCTGCAAGTTTGGGATATGAAGACAACAGGGTGGCAGCCAAGGCTTCTCTAAGCATGAAGCCCGTCCAGTGGCTAGGAGCGAGTGTACAGAGGAACCAGGCCACTGTTCCAGGGGCAGCGGGGCAGGTGTCAGGGAGGCGCTCAGCACAGCAGCCTCCCCTCCACCAGTCAGCAGCATTCTCAGCAGGACCACGCACGAAGCCTTCTCAGACCAGGGCGAAACAAATGCCTCCCTGATCCTGTGAAGGGGCCTCCTATACTCCTTTGGCTTTCTGTTGGCTTTCACAGCAAGAAAAATTCTCAATGTAGATTCAAAGCCTGTTTCCTTTTGGGAAGATTTTCCTTTGGGGAGGGGATTAAAGAGGGGATTAGAGAGGTTTGACAGGGCTCAGCAGCTGTCTGGATTTTCAAATCCATAAGGAAGTAAGTAGTTGCTTGGCACTAATGAACTGCTTGGAAAGTGCAGCGAGAAGCCATTAATCTTTATTAACACGGACTTCTGTGACGTTAGAACCAGGCTAATACCAGGGTGATGGGAGAACTTCAGGGTGGAGAACAAAGGAAAAACGACAGAACCTCCAGTGTCTTCCAGCATACTGGCGTTCTTCCTACAGGCAAGACCCTGCAGGTGCTTTCCCAGGTCTGAGTTGCTAACTTCCTTGTTACTGTCTACCAAGAACTAGATTGGGGTGGGGCTCCCCCTGGGTTCCTGTCCTCGAGGTGAGAACAGATGAGTTACATTCTTACACAGCAGGGAGAACAGGCAATGGCAGACCATTAAGGACATTACTCACCTATTTAATACTTATTTCAAGAGTTTCTAAGTTAGTGGATGGAAATAGTATTCAGCTAGGAATGAAAAGACCAGTGGAAGACGCAGGTTGGAGGCACCAAGCAGAGCAGGCTTGTGGGAAATGAAGAGCCTGGTCCTGCAGGCTAACCTGACTGGCGCTTTGAGATGTGCCAGTGTGTGTGTGGGGTGGGCCTACTCCTCTGTACGTTTCCCCTGGCTCTCTGGGGAGCCCTTCTCGGGTGCCTGCCTCGTCTCCATCCTCCAGCATCCTGGGCTGGCACCTGCCGCTTTCAAGCAGGAGTGGCTGTGCGCTGACAGGGAAGGTGCTGGCCTACGGACCTATGGAGCTTAGTGCCCAGGAGAACAAGGCAGTAAGTGTACCAGTGACTGTTAGAGGATGATGTGACCGAGCGGGTCTGGCCATAACCTCCCCACCCCTACCCCCGACCCAATGTACAACAGCAGTCCCTTGGAGGTCAGAAAGCACGATAGAACATTTCTTATAAAAGTATTTTTTAATAAATTGATGTATATCAATGTTTTAACATGATAGCCCAATGCTATATCAAGGTAGCAAAAGTGAAGATTCCTGGTATTTTTATATAAACACTATGAATGACAGTACACTTGCATTCAACTTCACAAGAAATGATCCTCAGGTCCATGAAGACTCTTTGACAGCTGTAACACCCTTGGACAGCGAAGATGTATGTGTATGGACTGAGTAGACAATGAAAGCCTCACGACTGAGCTGCACTCTCAAACCATACTGAAGAGAAGAGGGTACAGTGGCGGTATGGCCAACTTGCTGAATAAAACAACATGAAAAATAAAATACAGCACGTACCAAATTCACAGGGTATCTTACAGATATGGAGCCATAAGAAGACACACAGATTAGAACCCTGAAGCAGTGAATGTTTCTACCCGTTTTGTGATGGAAGAAGCCATGGGAACAGAGTCCTGCAGCTGTCTGTGGTGCTGAATCTCCCCATACACACAATGTCATCAACTGACTAAAACCAGAATTCCCTGCTCTGTACAAATGCTGGTGATGGGTAACTTGCGCTATTGCTGTGGGTCAGAGCAATAGTTGGCTGGAGTTCAGGAATCATGTGGAGGCAATGTAAGACGGTTTCACCACCTTCCACAATCCCACAAGTCATACTTTCCAAAGCTGATGCCCCTTCTTAGGGTAAAAAGACAAAAACAGAAACCAACAAACAAACCCAAGGGCCATTACAAACAAACAGAAAAAACTTCTGACCTTCTAACACGATTATTACTGTTTAACCCAGCAGGAAAAATGTTTGACTTGGTTATTACAACAATAAAAAAATGTATCTGACTCCACTGATCACATGTATGATCAGATTTCTGATATGTATTTTTTTTTTGAACACAGATCAGGGACAAGAGATTAAGAACAAGATTCTTTTCTTGGTGGAGCAAGGAAAAGTAGATTTTTTTTTTTTTTTGAGACGGGGTCTTGCCATGCAGTTCATGCTGGCTTTGCTCACTTTGTAGGCCAGGCTGGTCGTTTTTTTTTGGTATTTTTGAGACAGGGTCTCACTATGTAGTTCAGGCTGGTCTTGAGCTCACTCTGTAGCTCAGGCTGGTCTCGAACTTGCAACGATCCTCCTGCCTCAAGCCTCCCGAATGCTGGGATTACAGGTGTGTGCCACCACGCCCCAGCAGGAAAAGCAGATTAAATGCTAATTAAATCCACTCTAAAGAAGGACCTGACTTGAGTAAGATTTTCTAAAGACGTTTCTTTTTCTTTCAACCTCAAGTACAATTAGATTGCAAAGAATCTTGTGTCCAGAATTTCTGTTTTTGGTCTTCATGGTAGGACAGTTTTATTAAAGGTAGGAAAAAAAACAGGCTCTGCAGAGCAAGTTTGGGCCACGTAAAAGTAGAAAAGAAGTACAGCCTACAGCGTGAGGATGGGCCAACCATGCAAGAGCAAACACAGTGGCCACTTTTGTTTTCTTGAGACAAGGTCTCACTATGTACTCCAGGCTGGCCTTGAACTTGCAGTGATCCTCCTGCCTCAGTCTCCCAAATGCTGAGATTACAGGCATGTGTTGCCAAGCCCAGCTATGTGTCCAGAATTTTATCGCATAGTTTTTAGTGTGATAATTGGCCATAGGCCAGTATTTCTAATGCTCTTTGTACTATTCTTAAATTCTCAATGTTGCAGATGACAGTAAATACAACAGAATAAAACTATTTCTGTGTTAACTTGCTGAATTGTGGATAAGCAAAGATCAGATGTTCCTAGCTATTCACCAAGAAGTGTCTAACTAATGGTTATTCCTCTGAGCCAGTAGCCCACATTAAAACATGTATATGTGAATAGATTAGAGAAAACTGTAATCCATATTACTAAAAAATTCCAGGCCAAATGCATCGAAACACTTCTACTAATTTGGCTTTTGGTGCTAAGAGTCTTCTTTTCGTGAATAACTTAGATTGCTAGAGCCCTAGTGCTTTGTCCTAAGTCTCATTTTTAGACCTGAACCAAGTCAACATTTCATAAAGATCGTAAATTCCTTCCCTTACATCTCGTAAAGCAAGTGCTCTATCCTCTGAAGAACTGAGAGTTAATCTGTAAAGGCTTTTTTCTCTCTGGAAATAGAATAGTCAAAAAAGCATAAAGTGGCTTAATTTTCCTCAGGCCACTGTTTATAACCCAAGGTTTGTTTTCCCTATCAACAGGGTGTGCTTAAATTGATAAAAATCAATCAAAATCAGCTTATGGAAAAGTTAAAAATGTAGTTTACTGAAAGATATGATCACAGACAGCAATAGCAAATAGTCCAATGTAAAAGTTTAAATAAATGTAAATAACCTTAAAACTAGTATCTAAAGCTAAAGTCACTGCCTTGGATCATCTATATGCTGCATCCAGTATTTTACTTAGCACATTCATTCTTAAGGCAGAAAAATTCAATTTAACATGTAATGACTTGGTTCTTACATCCAAGGGTCAAACTGGGAGTAGGCTTGAGCAGAAAGCATCCTTGCTAATGTGGATTTATCTCTGGTGACAAATTCATTCTTAAAGCATGTGAGGTACAGGAGACATACATTTGAGAGAACATAAAAAGATGAATGTTAAAATACACAAATATGACTTTCCAACAAGACGCTGATGAGATTAGGCATTCTTTTATGAGATGGAACTACTCCCGTAACAAAATATGCTTTCTGATATGGTACATAAAAAGTATGAAATATCAAAGATACCTTTGTGGGGTATGTTTCTTTAGAATCTAGTTTTCTAGTATAAAAGGTAGCCTGAACAGTGAAAAGCAGCTGAAAGTCAACTCATACTGCTACTCAGAAGGCTACCACTTAGGATATTCCTATCCCATTAACAAAATCCTGTGTGGGGAGGAAATTATTACGTATTATGATAAAAACGAAGCCCCCCCGACACGTGTGCAAAAACACTTGTCAGTTATAAGACTATCTTCAACAAAAAACATCTTAATTATAGAATCGCAGGCATCAAAGCCAGACGGACACGAGACGACCACCCTGCGTGGTGGATGGATTTGGGATGAAACCAACTGTCCCACGGGCACCTTGGGAGATGTGCTACTTGGAGTGAGAGGAAGTGGCCCAGGGTCCCGGGCCCTCGGGGCTGTGTGTGCTCCTTCACAGCAGGCCAGTTTGGTTCTCTGCAGCCTAGTGCCCGAAACAGTAACAAAACAAATATGAATCTAAAAGGGAATTCTTACGCAGGTGACGGGAACTATAACTGTTTAAGTACCTTTTTATGTGCCTATTAGTTATGCCATAGCTCTGGCAATTGTCAGGAAGTGTACAAAGATTATCTGCCTAATTTCTGAAGACGAGGATTTTCTTCTTTCAGGTGGCAGAAGTCCATGCAAGATTTGTAAACAGCGATACAAAATACTGTAAACATAACTTAACAGAGCTTGTATAAAACAGAAGAAGTAAATCCAAATTTACAAGTGGGTAAAAAAAACCAGAGGGCAGCTTTGTATAAAGTTCTCCTTCCTGCGCCGTTATTTTTTTTTTTTTTTTTTTTTTTTTTGATTTCAAATTTAATGCTGAGCTGCAATACTGGGATTTGGGGATCTTCCATCTTTGCATACAAAATATCCAAAGGATGCTTACTCTATTTACTTTTCTCTAGTGATATTCAACTGCCAGACAGTTCTGCAGGTGTGACTTTGGAGATATTTATAGTTTAGTGTGGCGCCCGGGTCTGGAGCCCGCTGCAGTGCTCGCCATGGCAGCAGATGCGGCAGCATCCTCTGCTTCTTCCAGTTCGTCCTGGAGCTCCTGGCTGACGCTGGACTGCAGGGCTGCAGGAGTGAGCCACTCCTTCGGGAGGCAGCTCTGTAGAAAGGGTATACAGGAGCTGAAGTAAGCAAGTCGGTTGATCCAGCGAGGAATCTCTTTCCCACAAAGTATCTACAGAGGAGAAAGAGTTCTGCATTAGGTCACAGAGGATAAAGTTATCTGGTCCACTGCCACGAAAGTGGAGGGCAGGAGGAAGCAGGTGGCTATAAAGAAAAGCCACTTCCTCTGATAACAAGAGGCTCCTTAATGTAGAAGCCTAGGGATCCTTCTGTCAGCGCCATTCCTTCCTTTCTGAAGAACCTTGTCAGCTGCTTGATTTTAAAAGTAAAATCAAGCTAATTCCACATGACTTCTTTCTTTCTTTGATCCTTCAACTGCTTTGAGACACACATAAAAGTACTTTGAACATGGAAAAAAAGATGCTTGCTAATACAACACATTGTTAAAGTAAAAGAAACCCCAGGTAGCTGTAAGAGTCATCTTGAGTATTTTCCTATCTGTCAATTCTCCTTTCCCAAAGATACTTTTCCACTGTCCTCTAGTCTCTATCACTTCATTTCTACTGGCCTGCATTTTACTCCTTTACTTCTGTCTACAACTAACTTTGTTTCAAGGAAGCCTGTCCTGATCCGGAAAGAAGTGTCCTCACATGAACACCTGGCACTCTGACCTCCTCTGCAATGCAGGGCTATGTCAGAACAAGGCATGCAGTCTGGGCATGCTTCAGTCTGAAGGCAATCAGGGCAGAAATGGGTACAGCTGACGATGTGCTGTATCCACGTGCCCACTTCTCAACCTTACACTGTTCTCAGGACTTGAGCTCCCCCATTTCAACTAGTAAGAACTGGATCTTTTATAAAACTTACTCTATTATCCTCCCTTTTGCATATAACGCTGGGCTTAACTTAGCCCATACTCCCTTAGTGTTTTTACCTTTAGACATGCCAAAGATTATGATCATGATCTGAAAAGTGCCATCTTAAATATCTGTGGATCTTAGTGAACTTGGAAAGAGGTTTCAAAGTATGTTATGCAGAAAAAAATTTGCTAAAATTTAAATAAGCTGGTACTTATGAATGCAACATAACCTTTCTCCCTGATAATTTAGCCTCACCCTTTAATGATTACTGTATTTATTTTAAATACTATGTCTCTGTCTGAACTATAGGTAAAGTGAGGAGGTTTTACTTCAGGGAAGGTAGTGTGTTCTGACCAGTTTTGATTATTCAGTACTTCTTACAATGCCTAAAGGGCAGACAGGTATTTAAAAAGATTTGAAGAATGTATGCACGGATGGACTAGCTCTAGGAGAAAACTGCAGAATGACCTTATGTGACACCATGCCCACCATGCCCACCTATCTATTCTTTTCTTTCTTTTGATGGTTTTGGGGATCAAACAGAGTGTTCCACACCTTTCAATTTTTAAAAACACTAGCAAGTATCTTTCATACCTGAAAAGAATTAGAAATATCTGCATAGCTGGAGAGTAACCACGTAAATGGCAACTAAGAATACTTAGGTTATTCTTGTGGCAGCCACTCTGCCTATTCAGCTCATTTCCTTTCTAAACTCTAATTTTATTGAGCAACCTACCTTCCTCCATATTACGATGTGTTACATACAGGTGAAACTGATTTGGGGCATGGCTTCATTATCCTAAAACAGTTCTGTAATCTTCAGGCACCTGTTTTTGTAGATAAAATTTTATTGGACTAGCCATGCCTAGTCACTTACCTACTTTATATGACTTTTGGGCTACAGCGTCGGAGGCGCAGTTGAGAATATGAATCGTTAGTTCATAAACCTAAAATATGTAGTACCTGTTTTTCATAAAAAGTCAGCAAACCCTGGCGTCAATGTTTTGAAAACTTGCAGTGAGACCCATTAGTAGGTCATTCAGCATTGCATTCTCAATTTTTAAAATGAAACAGACTGTCAAAAGTGAGGTAACTGTGACACTCAACAAAAATATGCATGTGTACCTGTCCACACACATAATCTGGATCATAACTTAAAACGTACTTATGACCAGTGGTCAAACAGTACTTGGTTTACACAGCAAAATGCGGAGAGGAATGTACAGTTGTTTTTCATTACTGTACTTTTTATAATAGGAAAAACACCAAAAATAACCCAAATATTAACAGAAAAATGGTTTGAATAAATTCTGGTCATCTACAGGAGAACTCAGCCGAGAAGAGAAATGAGAAGTCTCCATGCCGCTACAGAATGGACTCTTAAGATGCACAGCAGAGCAGCGCAGCACAGCAGCGTTCGCCTTCGGTTCTACTTTCTGGAGTTCCAGTTACTTATTGTCAACTGTGGCCCAAAACTATTAAAACTGTCTTGACTTTCAAGAGAGAAGTGACATTCACATAACTTTTGTCACAGTATACAGTATTTCAATAATTGGTCTATTTTATTACTGTAGCTTTTCTTCTATTGTGCCTAATTTATAAATTAAACTATCACAGCTGTGTATGTAGATGGAAAACCATGTAAGATTCAGTACCATCTGTAGTTTCAGGCATCACCAGCTCCCTTTGATAAGGGGACCTGCTACACGGCTAAATGAAAAAAAGCAAAGTGGAGAAAAGCGTGTGACATGTCTAAAATGTAATGGTTGGGCAGATAACACTTCAAATCCGAGAGGGAAGACTGAGAAGAAGCACTTACTAGTCCCTACCAGTTTTGAAATCCAACTGGACATAAGGTTTCTTGCTCTGCCCTCTGGGCCCTTAACCCTGTCCGCGGACTTACACTTCCTCTTTCACCAACTCATTTCCTGCCTGTAAAACTTGCGTCCAAGAGCCTCTTTCATTTTGTACTCGCTGTACTTTCAGACCAACAGAGGCAGCACCCCTGCTAATATAATGTATGCAAAGGCGTGGGTCTCCTGTATAAGCCCTACAAACGAGTCCTTCCGACTGTTGCCTGCATAGCCCATCTCTAAATTTCTGCTGAGATGGGTAAGAGAATCCATGAGGCATAGAATTAAGCCCTTCAGGAGTTGAAAAGGTGGTTCCATTACATCCCTAGCCTCTCTATAACACACCTGCCTTTTTGCTCGTTTGTTTGTCTGTTTTTTTGAGAAGGGTCTCGCTCTGTAGTCCAGGCTGGCCTTGAACTCTTGGTGATCCTCCTCCCAAGTGGTGAGATTACAAGTGAGTGCTGAGATTACAGGAGTGCGCCACCACGCTTGGCTTATAACACACTTTCCTATTAGTAAAGTTCTAGATTTAGCATCTTTTACAATCTCAACAGGCTGAGAATCCCCTCAATTATCAAGCAGTGATTCTTTTTTGCTTAACAGTTTTTTCCTCCATTTATTGTCTCCTCACATTTTACTATAAGCAACAAGAAAGCAGACTGCAACCAAGTTTAATCTTAATGCTTACAAGTTTTGCTCTCCATATAACTGCAGAACACAATACAGCTAAGCTTTCTACCACTATGTAACAAGGACCTCTTTTTGTCCAGTTTTCAATGACATCTTTGTCATGTCCTTTTAAGTCTTAGTAAGCAGTACTTTTTATATCTCTATTTCTGAGCAGTCCGTTCAAGGTAATCTAGGCCTTTTCTATCAAATCCTTCAAAATTGCTCCAGTCCTCTTCTATCACCAAATTCCAAAACTGTTACTTTTACTTTTTTGTTGTTGTTGCTGTTGTTCTTCTTCTTCTTCCGGCACCAGTCATCAAACTCACGACCTTGCACTTGCCAAGCAGGCGCTGTGCCACTGAGCTAAATCCCCAGCCCCTGTGTTACTTTTAGGTATTTGTTACAGTAGCACCCTACTTCCAGGCACCAACATCAGTACTAGCTCTCTATGGCTGCTGTAACAAATGACAGAAACTTGGAGGTTAAAATACTACTGATTTATTTTCCTATAGTTCTAGAAGCCAAAGAATAGAGGAGAATACATGAAGCTAGATTTCCATAAATATACCACTTCTTTTTCTCCCAGAAATCGCTTTGAAATGGTAGAAAGATTCTATACAACAAGAAACAAAACCAACAACAAACACAAGCTCTTTAAAAAAAAGATAAATAGAACAAATGAACCGAACCACAGTTGGTGATACAATCACACAGAAATTATTCCAATTAATTATAAAACACATTCCTTTGACTGTATCTCTCATTAAGTCAGACTCAAAGACAATGAACCATAAGCAACTTCAACTTTCTGGTAATCATATGTTCATGGCAGTGACGAGCCTATTATCCTAAAGCTGTCTTAGGTACACAGGGATAAAACAAGTGAGTAATTATGTTGCTGACAAATGAAATTCCTGACCTGAGATAAACATACTGTACTGAAAAGCTTATCTAAAAACTGTAGCTCTAACTGTTTATCTGTTGTGTTTTTCTGTGATGCGTTTTATGGAACATGGGGGACTCCCAGGAGACAGCTGCTGGTCCCTCTCACTGTGCTCCTGCCCATGACCAGTATTATTTTATGCTAATAATAACGAGATTTTAGTCCTAAGTAGTTTCTGTGATTCCTACTGTTTTTATCTGAATAGATTCTTTTGGTGTGGATTAGTACATCAGCTGATTTGTGGGAACTGTGATAAACTAATTTTATTTTAAAAACAAAGAATTAAAATGTGAACGTGCCCGTAAAAAGTCATACTCTATTAGGGGAAAAAAGAAATCTAGAAACTCCATCAATTTAGTAGTAACAAGGAACCCAGATTAAGGTTTCTAAATACTTATTAGAAGCAAACAGTTCTGGGTTAAGAAATACAGTATACACATGAGCCTGGAATATCTCATGCCATAAAACAGAAAGTCTATTAAAGATTACTGGAACAAATTGAGACTTGAAGAAGGACAAGATGGGACAAGAGCTGTAACTGCACTGAACTGAAACATACACAATAGTTTTAAATCTGTGGGACAGTAAATTTACAAAACTAAATTTTCGAAAGAGAGGGAGAAGGAGAAGGAGAAGAGGGACAGAGAGAGGGAACAGGTCAGCTTAGAAGAATGACAGGGAAGGAACTATGTCACAGGTCCCTAAAACTACTATCAGGTTTGAAGATTTGCTGAGGAATTATAGGACTTGGCACAGACCTGTATTCACAGCTATGATTACATACAGCAAAAGGATATAAAACAAAATTAGCAAGAAAAAGGAACGTGGGGTGAAGTCTGGAGGAACCTCTAGGTTTGCAATCCAGGTGAAAAATCAGTGTGTCTGTCTTTCAGAGGGATTACCTGCAGGGAGTCAGTTCCAGGTCTGTTTGTCCACGACACCAGATTACTATTCTCTTGAGAGTGGATGGCACCTGGAGGTTTCCTCTAAGGGAGGTGCAGAAAGTGAGGTCGCCTCTGCTGTCTTGGATTCAGCACTGCCAGGTGTGAGCAGGGGCTCAGCAGCCTGTTTGAATTCAAAGTGCATGCAGTGCTTAAAACGCAAGGGACATTTTTCTCTAGGAAGAGGGAAACAGCAGTACTGAAAGAGGAAAGTTCAGTACTGAGAGATTAAGTCTTCCTTTGAGTCTCCCTTGGTGCCAACATTTTGATTTTTATTGCACAATCAGTATGTCCCAGTTATCAATCTAAGTTCACATTTTAAAAATGATCACTTCCTCTCATGGAGACCTTTTGTCAGGAAGGGACATACTAAAGAGGAATAAAGAGTCTTTAAAGGGAAATATTTTTATATAACATAAGCACACCATGTTAAGAATTGGTCAAAATTAAATCCTGAATTTTCCGAAAATTTAAAAATCAAACTGGGTGTGGTGGCACATGCCTACAATCCCAGAACTCGGGGAGGTTGAAGCTGGAGGATGGCTGCTAGCTCAAGGCCAGTTTGAACTACACAGTAAGACAGTCTCAAAAGAAAAACAAAATGAAGATGTGTGTAGCAGAAGAAATTCGGAGAAAAGCTAGGCCATCAGCCCATTGCCACTAGCTATAACTCATCCAGAAAGTTCTGAGTCTAGACTCTGGTCGCTCATCCCTGTCAGTGGAGGGCACAGAAGTCAGTCCTGGTGATGGGCTTTCCCCAGCATTGTAACTTTTGGCAGTAATCGAAAGTCAGGAACGGAACCAGCCTCTGTACCGGAAATACCAAGCTGACCAACAGCTTGATTTCAGATGGTCCCACCAGAGAAGTGCTTTCCTGTGGAAACGTGCAAGTGTCTCCCATGGTTCAGCCAACAACCACGTTTACATAGCTGAGGGCCTTACAGAAGGTGTCCTAAGTCTACAGTGATTCCCACATAGAAATCTTGTTCCCTGAGCCTGTACCTTGCAGTTTAACCGAAATTATGCGAGGTCAAAACTGTGGAGAACAGACAAAGTCTGGTTTTAGGTGTCAAATGTCTGGTTTTAAGAGTCAAATCCAAGCAATTAATATTTACCAATTTAGGGGGAGAAAAGAAAAGCAAAGTAAAGCTGAGATGCTGGAGGGCCAGACAACCACGTTTCCAACTTCAAATGACACGTAAGGCTTTCCTAAGCCGTTTCTAAGACCCACTCAGAAATACGCACGAAAGGCTAATTAATCACCAGCCTTTAGAAGTTGTGTTGCACTAACGTTTTCTTCACACACACCACCCCCGTCATTTTTGAGACAGTTTTGTTAAGTAGTTCAGGGTGGCCTTAAAGTCACTTAAGCATCCATCTGAATCTTTGAATGAATTCCCTACATATGTAGTATCTGGGGTCAAAAAAGCTCAGAACCGCATTTCCCTCTTTCCTACAAAATTGACTACGTCCCCTCTGTGGTACTGAAGCACTCACTACACTGAGGGAGAATCTAAAACTTTTACCTTCATATGAATCACCTGGAGATCTTGTTAAAATGAAGATTCTGGTTCAGTACATACACAATGGGGCAGGGATACCTGTTCCACAAATTCCTAGGTGATACTGTTCATTCATGAAGTACACTTTGACTAGGATGGTAAGAGACCATTATAGCCCTGTTGAAAAGGGGAAGTGCAAAAGGCTAGGTAGTTATGCATTTCTGCATGGTAGTCACTAAAATAAATAGCTCATTTTCTTCTTTACATTTTCTGCAATTTCTGTGGTACTCTGATGCTACTAGTGCAACTATCTGTTGAAAGTCAAAGCTGGGGAACCATGTGCTATTTAATTCTCTAGACTTTATTTTCATTTCTTCCCTCCATCTTCTGCTTGGGATTCCTAAGAACAGGGAAGGCCACTTAAGTGCCTGTGTAACCAGTGAGCAAATTTTCAGATAGGAGAGATGAATTACTTATAAATAAGGGCCAAGAAAAAAATTTAGGTTGGCAACTAAAATTCAGTAAAAGAGAAATTTTAGTAGTTGAGAGGCATCAGTCTCGCCGGGCGTGGTGGCGCATGCCTATAATCCCAGCACTTGGGAGGCTGAGCAGGAGGATCTTTGGGAATTTGAAACCAGCTTGGGCTATAAAGTGACCTCAAGGCCAGATTGAAATGCACAGCGAGACCCTGTCTCAAAAAAAAAAAAAAAAAAGCATCAGTCTCCTAGGAATTTTATTTTTCTTAAAGTGGGAAGTTTCAGGTTTGCTATACTTAAATCTCCCCACAAAGCTGCTATCTTTGGATGACAGCCTGGAGGAACTGGGGAGATGGCAGACCTTCAGAAGTAACACGTAGGGGAAAAGGTTAGGTCACCGGGGCTGTGCCTTTAAAGGGACTCTGGTTTCTCCCTCTCCCCCCCTCTGCTTCCTGGACACCAGAAAGCTCTGCTGTACAATGTGTCTCTGCTTGGAAGCATCGTGTTGCCACAGGGCCCCAAACAACACAGCCAACCGACCATGTACTAAAACTGTGAGCCGAAGTATTTTTCTCAGGAACTTGTCTCATCTATGAGAAGCTGACTAACACCCAGCTGTAATCAAATGAATAAAGAATAAGACTCTCTCTACCCACTGCAAAGAAACAAACAGAATTATCATTTGAAGCTATGCTGACTCTTGAACTCTCAATTCTGGGAAAGTCATTCATACAACAGAAATGCAACACTGCTTTGTACAAAGTGAAGAATCAGAAAAAAGAAACAAATCAAGATTGAATACAGTGAGTCAGTGAGTATTTTAGTAAATGTTATTTACCTAAAGAATTTTTAGGATAAAATTGTATTTACCTCTGATAAAGCTGAAGAAAAGTGATTGCAATTTTTATGCATCAAATGATAGGCATTGCCTTTGTATTCTTTTCCCAGTTCTTCTACAATTTTTTCTATGTCATCTTCTAGGAAGTCAGTGCTCCCTAAAACAACAGCTTCTCTTAAAGAACAAAACGAAAAAAAAAAGAAAAAAACGAACAACAAAGAAGAACACACCTGTGTGAGTTTCAGGTATTTATAATAAGTACATTTAAACACATTTGCTTATTTCCAGGAATGTTATGCCTGATGCAACAAATCAGGGCTAATATACTAAGATTTATAGTAAATGAGATCCTTTAAAAATTTCATTTATGTTTTATTTTTCTGCAATAAAGTTCACTACTTCTGAATTATGTAAGTACACAAGTTGAATTCCTTATGAAATATATATCATTAGCGACCCATATCCAAGCAAAAAAATATTCCTGCTTAATAACACTCACCAGTAAGAGCTAGCCATTTTTTTTTTTTTTTTTCCCCCGGTACCGGGAATCACACTCACAACCTCGCGCTTGCCAGGCAGGCGCTGTGCCACTGAGCTAAATCCCCAGCCCCTAGAGCTGGCCATATTTTCATTTGGAAACAGTTAAGTTACCTGCCACTGTTCTGCAGTGAAACAAATTGTCAAATTTGATGAAATATTAAAAAGCATTATTAAAAATGCTTTTTAAACAACCAAAAATTACTATCTACTGTAACAATAAAAAGCAGAATTTTACTCAGATACAAGTTAGGCATCAAAGAAGGCTGAAAACAATTAGAAAATCATCTTATCAAGTACTGTTTCCAAAAGGGAGCCCTATGAAATGGATTTAGAAGTACAGTATTATTGCACTCCTATGTATAAATATTTCAATTCAGTAATAAAATAAGAAAGCTGTGCTGGGGATATAGCTCAGGGACACAGTGCCTGCCTAGCAAGCACAAGGTCCTGAGTTTGATTCCTGGTACCCTCCCCCCACAAAAAAACAAGAAAGAGCCCTGACCTTAGTAGCGTGTAAGCCTGACACTGAATTTCTGTATTATAAAGTCATTACATTATTTTTCACTTGGCAAGTTATTCAGCAGTTTCTTTAAAGCTCCTGGAAACTAAAATTGTAAATAATATTTTCAATACAAACCTCAATTAAGGAATGGAAATCTTCTAACATTCAGATTTTCACTGTTGATTTTCAGGTTCCAGAGAACACCCATAGCTACACATTGTAGGTTTATCATTACACGTAATACCTGTATCTTAACAATATTGCCCAGGGTGATCAACTGTTTAGTAATTTCAAATTTATAAAGTATTTCTTTCATTGAGAAAAGGAAGAGAGTTTTAATAGTGGTAAGTAGGTTACAATAAAACTTTCTCCTTTTTTTCCCCCAATGGATCCTGGGGGCTAGCGATTGTCTGTCATTAGGCAGGAAAGTTCCCTGTGATGAATCCGAGTTAAAGACAAAAATACTTTAAAAACAGAGTAATTTATATAGGTATTTGATTTGATCTGAATATGTGATTGGATATTTGATTTGGATTCCCACCTTTACTTAACAACTTAAGTAGATTTCATTTAAAAATAGTGTCAGCAGCTATAACACTTTCACTTAAATCTACAGAATGAATTCTGCATGCCTGAAAAACAAGTTTGGGCACTGAAGGCAGTGTAACAAAAATTAACCTCCCCTACTTACTTAAATTTAAATGTTTCTCCTAGTTCAGAAGCATTTCCTGGGGAAATTTCAAATATTCCAGAAAAAGGGTAAGGATGACCACCATAAGCAAATTCTGAAAAGAGAAAACTCATGGTTTTTAGTATTTATCACATAAAATTTAACTAAATCATCAATCAGCTTTGATGAACGATGAGGATAATGATACTGATCTAAGTATTTTTCAGTTTATAACATGCTTTAACGAACATTTCATTTCATTATCACCAGTACAGAACAACTGTCACAAAAGATTTGAAACTTGAATAGTAAAAGACAATCTAAATATTGGCAAGAGGACAGTGGCTGACTCAAAGGCAAACAGTGTCTCTGTGGTCAGCTTTGTGTTTTGGCGCTTTTCAAGCTACCACTTCACTGGAAACTGTCAAACGATACTGAGTTTTCATGGTACCTTGAGTAAATACTCTTGATTTCTTTAAAGATGTAACATTATCAAACATGAAACAATAAATGTAATTCCCCGCACTCAAAAAATTAGCCTGTAAAATTAACCTCCCCCCCCGTCCCATTTTGTGCAGCAAATCTTTTACCTAGGAAGGCACCATGTGTATTACAGTGCACTTATGTCCCTCTTTTCTGATATAAACTCATCCAGGACCAAAATGGAGAATGATTTCAAATCAGGAAGCAACAAAAGTTTCCAGCTGTCATTCTGATACTCTAACTTAGATATTTAGGAGACTAAGTCTTATTAAATAATTAAGATTTATTAAATATAATCTTAAAAGGTCCTAGAACAGTGCATGGGAAGAAATGAAGACTCTTAAGCTTTTGATTCAATCTTCCCAGAAAAAAAACCAACATAGATAAGAAAGTGTTTAGGATTCAGTTTTGAAATATAAATATTAAATATTTTAATGATAGAATTTTATAAAAATATTTCAGATAATCAGGTTAGACATGGAAAAATCACATTTGAATTTTTAACTTTATAGGAGAAAAGATAAGATACAATTTTATATAAGAAGTAATCATTTACTTTCAAGAATCCATTTGGTTCTAGTTTTGCTAAGATTACGTGGACATGTTCTAAATCACACCTGTAATTATTCCTAAGTCATTTTATGACGGGATCAGTGAGTAGGAGGTCACAAGGCAACAGACTAACATACAAGAGCCAGGCATGGTGACACACTGCTGTAATCCAAGTACTCCAGGAGTCTGAGGCAGGGGAACTGCAAGTTCACGCCCAGTCTGGCCAATTTACCAATTTATGAGACCCTGTCTTAGGAGAAAAAACACCAAAAAACAAAAAACTGGGTACAGATGTAGCTTAGTGGGGAATCCTACAATCCTCAGTACCACTAAAAACCACCGAAAGACCCAAAACAAAACAACTATTGGGGTCCAAATCCCAGTTCTATTAGTTATTACCAATCTGACTGTGGGCCTCTGTTTCTTCATCTGACAAATGAAGAAAATGGCACATGCTCTTATGTACTTCACAGCATAACCATGTGGTTCAAAAACTAACGACACACCATCCAAATTTAAGTTAAAAAGTAATACACAAATTTGGCCGAAGTCAGACTAATGAAGAGAGCAAACCCATAGCCTACAATCACAGCAACACTCTCGTCACCTCAACTTACAGCAAGAGCCACTCACTGTTTCCTGGGATTACTTGGTGGTGTGGCCTGGCAAGTAAAATGAAGCTTAAATGGTAGATCTTTACAGTCAACATTTATTTTATTTTGCTACACTAAGCCCATTAATGTGGAACACAGAAAGGAATATTTGGAGATGTAGCTCAGTGGCAGAGCACCTGCTTAGCACGTGCAAGGCTGAGTCCCATTCTCAAAAAGTGGGGTGGGGAGGAGAGAAAGTATAAAAGCCATACTGACATTTTAAACAACTAAGTAGATGAGTGTTTCCTATGTATTACCTGTAGTCGGTATATAGTCTTCAAGGGGAACCTTGAGCGAACTGCAACCCTAAGTGGCCACAAAAACTGCCTAGTTGATGTAAATAAAGATATTTTTACTGCAAGATGGGTTTAAGATTCAAGATTCAAACTGATATACTACCACTTGATTAAGGAGATCATTTTGCACAGAGTGGGAACCAGAACAAAGGAGAAAGCTGTTGAAAACACAGCTGCTTGGGTTGTGTGGTTCCACTCATGTTTATCATAATAAAGATAACAAGAACAGAAGGGCTGAGTGAAAGACAAAGGCCATCATTCTTGTGCAAAATGCTAGGTGTAATCAAAGGCAGGATTTGCTCAGTGATATTTTTAGACTTTATAAATACACACTTACTAGTCTACAAACACCAAATTTATTACTGAAATTCCCTCAGGAAATTGATATTTCAAGTTTGATATTCTCTAGTACCAAACCCTTTCCAATCAAAATGATTGTTTTTGTTATGCCATTTTTCAAAGTACAAAGTTTCTTAGAACTCTAGTACACACCAGAGAGCAAAAACTATCACAAGGTAGAAAAACATCTTTTTAAAGACACAGAACTTAGAATAAAGGCGAAATGAATGTACACTCTTGTATGATTACTTTCTCCCCAAATACGTTCTACTTTGGCATTTTCCAAAACAGTATAAACAAATATGGGGAGAGGTTTTTTCCCCCTACTTTCCACAATAACATGTGGAAGTGATTAAAAAAAAAGTTACAGTTGTAATTTTGCAATTCCATTAAATGGACAAAATCTTCAGCAAGTAATTTAAACTGTGCACACTCACCTCTACCATATACTTCAATTCCTGAATGAAAAACTCCAATTCCAATGGATGAGGTGTATTCATTCATCCAGTACTGAAAGAGAGAGAAAGAGAGAGAGAGAGAGACAGAGGTTGATTGAGATTATCCATTCATTTACAACTCAGTTTCATATTACATGAAGTATCTAGTCCCATTTCTTGGAATTTCCCCTTTGAGAACAATGTATCCCTGTCTTTGCTTGTGAAACATTTCATCTGTAGTGCCTTCCTGTGTCAAAGCAAATGTCTCAATTTGAGTCTGGCACTTATTTAAGGCTTAGGCAATAATCAGTAAAACCTAAGTCTGGTCAGGCTGGCAACAAATTTATAGAAAAGCAAAGCTCTTCTGTTAGTGATTAAAACACACACACACATCTATATACACTGTCTGCTTTTGGATCTATTTTTCTTACAAACTTTTGTTTTCCTTCTCTGGTAAGCACTCTCAAGGTTTGCATGTATTTTATGTATTCTGGTTCAGCTTAATTATTAATAATAATGTATAGGAATAAATAATATGAAGCACAGAGGTTAGAACAACCTGCTTACTGTTAGCATGGAGAAAAACTTTCCAGAAAAGCTACCATCTGAACTGGGCCTTTAGGAACAAATGAGAATTCCCCACATAAAACTGAATGGAGGGAGGGTGAACGGGAAGCAGTGAGAGGTAGGAGGGGAAGGTGGATTTACATAGGTAATAGGATACGAAGCTACACTGAATGGTTACGAACAGCTGACTGGTCAGAGCTAGCCCTAGAAGAGGTAAACACATAACGCTCCAATAGCCTTTCAAACCTACCGGACTCTCCTAGGTTAGAGGACAGATTTTTTTCAATCTTTCAGTCTCTGACCTTTTTTAGGTTTATTCAACACAGAAACATTGGTTCCAGATACCTCACCAACTTATCCCAGATCTGGAAAAATGTACATTCTTATACATTGCTGGAGGAAGCATAAATCATAAATGGACGAGTTGTGCCCTTGCCGCATGTACCTACAAGTAAAATTTAGCAATAGGAAGAAATATTTAACAAAGAAAAAAGGAGTTTCCTAGCTAGGCATCAAAATATTCATAACAATTTACACTGTTCTAAGAACATGAATCAGGTACGTGTATAAAAATTTGACGTATGATAATTATCACAACTTAAAATTAATGATGAAACATTACTGAAAGCATGTTGACAGATTAATAGTGTATAAAAAATTTTATGTATCCAAAAATCCTAGTGTATCTAAAAATAATTGTACACAGAATAAAATAAAAAAAGATAAGGAAAAAAATCTTCGATGAGAAAAGTCAACTTGAGTAAAGCAAAATCCCTGGAACTTTTAGAACATCAATAGATAACATAAACACATAATCTTTTTATTGTGTAAACTACATAAAAAGATCAAAAGATAAACACAGGGAGAAAAAAATTGTAAAATACATGTAACAAAGACTGGTATGAAACTTCAAGTGTTTTCTGTATCTCAACCTTCTGAGTTCCCAGTTTCGGACAGTCAGAATTTGAAGGGCAAGTGAGGAAAACAGGGATACTTTTATTTTATTCATTCATTCATTCATTTATTTATTTGGTCTTTTTGAGACAGGGTCTCGCTATGCAGTTTAGGCTGGCCTTGAGCTCAGCTTTGTAGCCCAGGCTGGTCTCGAACTCACACGATCCTCCTGTCTCAGCCTCCCGGGTGCTGGGATTACAGGTGTGCACCACCATGCCCGACTTTTAAAAAACACTTTGTTCAATGTGATTCTGGATGGAGGGTAGCCTGAGTGTATAAGCAAGGGTTCACAAAAACATATACCCAAATCACAGCATTTGGGCAGCCAAAGTTCAGACACCCAGGTATCTATAAATAAAACTCCACTAGAGACAAAAACGGAAAGAAGAGGAGGGGAGGAACTAGAAAGACAGGAGATTGAAATGAAGGGAACAGTCACTAATTCCTACCCTTTTCGAAAACTCATTTAAATGAAGTAAAGTTTTTTAAAAAAATAATGCCAATACTTGGTGTTGGTAAGGATGTAAGGAAGATACTGCACAAGTGTAAATAAATGAAAGCTACTTAACCACTCTACCTCCTAGAATCTATTCTATACAAATACTTGTACAAATACAGACATGTTCTAAAACTGTAGTTGTCCATTACACTGAAAAACTTGAAATAATCTAAATGTTAGTAGGGGGATGGTTAGAGCCACTATGGTAAATCCTTATCATGAACTATGTTATGATTTGTGTCTAAATGACCCAACCAAAGCCTCTTGCAGTCTGAGTGTGGTTCTTTCAGGGGTGGCTGGATCTAGAACGTGTGATGCTGGGATTAAGAGTGAGTGATTACTAAACCAGTCCACTGACTGGTTTGGCACCTGCCCTAAATCCAGTAGCTTAGACTGAATACAAAAGGGGAATAAAGAGGCTGCTAAGGTCACTTGAACTTGCTTCTTCCCTGTATTCTGTCCACCATGAACTGTCTCTCCTCTGTGATGCCAGTCTACCATGCCCCCTGCTTTGGAGCCCACCAATTATGGACTGAAACCTCTACAAACTGTGAGGTGGGTATTTTGTTTCAGCAACAAGTAACTAAGATAAACTATCATATAATTACCAAAAAGTATGAGGTAACAATACATAAAAACATTAAAAAAAAAACCACATAAAGTAAAAAGACTTACAATACAGAGTGGTAAAAATACACAGTAAATAAATCTATTACAGTAAAAATACACACTGCCATTAACACACGCACAACAGGGCTGTACATGTACGGCTGTCCCAGGCTGCCTGAAAGTATACTCATGCAGTACCACTGATGGTTTAAGTCAGTGGGAATGTGTAAATCCCCCTAAAAATATTCCCTTGTTGGAAACACACTTAGCCTTCACTCTTGCCACTTTGTGAAGCAGTTATAGAAGTCCTCTCTCCTGCACTTAGGAGGCAGGATAAAATATTTGGTGAACACTAGCTGGGTGGGGTGGCGCATACCTGTACTCCTAGCAGTCAGGGAGCTGAGGCAAGGAAGACTGCCATGAGTTCGAGGCCACTCTGGCCTACATAATGAGTTTAAAAGGCCAGTCTGAGTTTTTTTTTTCTTTTTGTGAATGCTGTTACTGAGCACCATCCAATGGAAAAGCTAGCTTGTAAAAACATCACAATGTACCCTCATCCACATAATTCACCAGATCTGGGGCTGCAAATTCTGGCTCCTCCCCTAAGTCAAAATGACCATGAAAGGTAAATGTTTTGAATCAATTCAGGGCATTGAAGCAGCCACCATAGTGCAACTAAAGACACAAAAGAGGACTTTAAGAACTGCTTCAGAAAGTGGAAAGAAAGCCGGGCATGGTGGCGCACGCCTGTGATCTCAGCACTCGGGAGGCTGAGGCAGGAGTTTGAGGCAGCCTGGGCTACAAAGTGAGCTCAAGGACAGCCTGAACTGCACAGCGAGACCTTATCGCAAAAAAAAAAAAAAAAAAGAATGATGGACAAGTGTGTTTAAAGTGAGGAGTATTCTGTGGGGGATTAACAGCAATGTGTCTTTTACTGCAATAAATTACACAATTTTTAAAACATTCACGGTATTTTTTGACACATGCTTACATCATCTGTATTAGGATCCACCAAAGGTAACAAAGAAAGGTCTGAAGCAAACTGTTAATAATTTGGGGGAGAGGACTTAGATAGGGCTATAGTGGGATTGCAGGAGTATAAAAGAATCATCCCTCCATCTCCCCGGTACCGGGAATCGAACTCACGACCTCAGGCTTGCCAGCCAGACACTGTGCCGCTAAGCTAAATCCCCAGCCCCGAAAGAATCATTTTTAACTCTGTATTTCAAGATATTTTTTCTTCAATGTCATAGCAGGTATTATTTTCACAATTAGACAAGTGTTAAGGTGAAATACTAGAGATGCATCTCAACTTCTGATACTCATATTGAAAACGCACCGAGTACACTGAGCCTGCTGACCCTCATAGCGTAGCAACATAGTGCAGTAATACTGAGTACTGGCTGCTTCCCCCTGTTCCTGTGGTTGACCGGGAAGTATAGTTTGCTGCCACTGCCCAGCATCTTGACAGAGGAGCCAGGGAAAGGACCAAAATTCACAATCCTAAATGTAACTTCTACTGAATGCTTTCGTACCATGGCAAAGTGTATTAAGGTGAATCATCCTGAATGGAGAACCACCTGTTGGACACATGCCAAAATGATACAGAATGTGACCTGAAGTGGTCCGTTAGGCCAACTTGGGAAACATTTGAATGTCAAAAAGTAAAGACAGTAATGGGCTACAGCATACCGAATAAAAAGATGTTTTCCATGTCTACAGTATTAAAAAAAATAAAGAGAACGTTTTCTTCTTTACAAAAAAAGTAAGCTAATAAATGTAAATGTAAGGGCAGAATTGGATAGTCATCCTGCAGCCCTCAGCTGATTCAGGCAGGGTTCACGAATGACAAAGCACTGGAAAAAAGGTGGTTGGAGATGATATAGAGTTAGCTGCCACCTCCTCCCATTTACACTAAATTACAAGTCAAAAAGATGCTTTTACAATGGAAAAATACAGCAAATATGGCCTTATTAAAATTACTAAGATGACTACCATCAAAAGCTGGATAAATTGATATTATGTGCCTCTGATAAAAAACAAAGGTTACATTTCCTTTGTTAGCTTTTTTTGAATTATTACATTGAACTCCACATTGGGTGCTCTCACATTAGGTTATTCTCATTTTACAGATAAAGAAATAGAAGATTAGGGGTGAGTCACTTGTGTAAGGTTTATTTATTTACCTCCGCTTTCCATGAATATTATTTGCTTGTGTATTAGACTGTAAGGAAATGAGGATGGGGAAGAGGTAGGCTGTGATCTCAAGGAATTCTAGGAAGTCTAATGGGGAAGAGAGACGGGCAGACAGCAGTAGAGAGTATGGGTGCAATTTGTACATCCCAGGTCTGCTGACCCAGGGTTCTGCTTTATCTCTTTCAGGCACAGGTCTAAATTCCTTGTGTTAGTTTTCTTGTCAAATGTGTAAAACAATATAATCATAA